GTCGTATGCCCCCCTCTGAGTCCTGAAGGCTGCGACTCTAATTAGACGGTGCCTTTGGACTCCACTAACTACTTTTTTCCGAGAAGTGAAGTTTGAGGGGGGGAGGAAATCAAGAGTGGAAGTTGTGAGACTCCAGCTGTACTGCAACTGGAGAAGTCTGCACTGGGAAACCAGTAACCATTTAAAATGCCACTAGGACTTCTAAATGATTTAGAGTGCTGTAGGATGTAGCTCACAATATGGCACTGAGCAAGGGCTGCTCTGCATGAACACACCAGACCTCACAAAATCCCCGTTACAGAAATGGCCCTCGCTGTCCTGTTGAATAAAAACTCCCCAAAGTGGAACAGTTTCAAATAGAAAATTATAAAGCCCTTTCTGCCCTTTGTGCAATTACAAGGGCTCAGGGGCTGGGGAGGGGTGCAGGGTAAAATGCATGAGCACTCGGAAGAATTTAATAAAACCATACTTCCAGGATGTACCTTTTTTTTTTCTTTTTTTTTTTTACTCAATTCTTTCCACTCACCTTTGTGATTCATTATAATTATACACTTAGAATCTCTGCCGGAGCCTTTTTATTATTTTCTTTAGACAGTACTGGTAGATGGATTTTTTTTTTTTGGAGTTAAATGTGAATAAGACCTATTTCCTTTTGTTCCACAATACTGAATATATCATGCTATCTGTTTTAAAGCACTTAGTAAGAATAGAAAAAACTAACTTATTAGACCATTCCATATATTCTTAATTGATTGAATCCTTATCCAGCACCTTTCTGTGTGTCTCTCCCTCACTAACTCTCTCTATATGTTACGTTCTCATGTCTTTTTTTATCCTTAGACTTTACCACGAGATTTTAACAGTGAAAAATATATCTATGTTGGCTCTTGTTAAAGTATAATGGATTTCCTATGTTTTATGTTTTCTTTTTCCTCAAGAAAATTAAGATATCTTGCTTCACTGTGAACATTTAAAGTCTTTAAGGGCACCCAAAGTATCGTGGCAAGGAGCACTTTGGGAAGGTGTACCGGGGTGGAGAAGGAACGTGTATGTAAAGTATCTGGCAGCTTCAGCCTTTAAATGGATGCTAGCAATTTCATCCTTAAAAACACTTCCTCCTCAAACAGTTAAAAGACTCTGAGAGCAATAAAATATTCATCATTGACAGTTTTAAGAAGGTAAAAGCATTTCCCAGGGGGCATCTTGTGGTGCTGTAGTCTCGCCTTATGCACAGTTTCCTACCTCTCACTTCCTTCCTCATTAGGTTGGTGTTGGGATAAAAGAGCAGAATGGGTCAGGAGGTCCCGTTCCAAGTAATTAGAGAGTTGCTTCTTTTATCTAAGTGTACCTTGTTAGAGTATATCAGTGTCAGCCAGGTTAATTGGAACTTTAATACATAATTGATGTTAATTTATGGCCCTTTTTGTTCCAGGATGCTCATGTGGACCTTAAAGTCAGGATACAGTTTTCTTGTTATTAATTATATACAGAAAACCAATATCCTCTTGGGAAGAGACCAGTGTCATCTACAACTTATAAAAAATCTAGCAGGCCCATTACAGTTATATGGCTCTTCTGCCACTAAACCTTCATGTCTTTGTTTACCGATGGCTCATGTTTTCACAAAAATAGCATAAAATCAATGCAAATCCCCATATCTCCTCCCACCACTCAACTCCACTGAGTTCAGAGGAAGCATTCCTGGTTCCCACTGCTCCGGGACTCGGACACTGCAATTTATTCTATTCGTCTCAACGCATGCAAGAAATCTGTATTTTTCCTGAACCTACAGTAATCCATAAGGCAGAAGCATCACCTTGGAAACTGCTGGAGCAGTGCAACACAACTTCCAGCAGAAGGGGCCTCTAAAGATCAAACTTGAAATCCTACATTAATTTCAATGCCAGTGAACGTGCTGTACCAGTCAACCAATACTACCCATAATAATACCCATAACTCTTTCCAGTGATGGACATGGCAAGACGACTACAAAATACTGGTCTTTATATTGTCTGTGTTCTTTCTGGACCCAAATTTTCTCTCTGGCTTGGCTGAGGAACAGCACAATGATTGACCTTGAACCCAACTGACTCCACTTGAAACTAGAACAGGGTCGCAGAAGAGCGAAGGTTCAGAGTTAATGATCTGCCTCCTAAAAGGTTTTGTGCAAACTTGCCAAGCAAGGGAAGTGCGCATGCTGCCTTGAAATGAATATGAATACCTAGGAACTTAGGGCCGCATGTTAACTTTCCATGGAAGTACCACCAGGCAAGAGAAATATTTTGGAAAAAATGATGTAAAGCTGAACTGCTTGCATCTCTGAGGAGTGTCCTTTCCTTGGTGAGCTCTCTGGAGGGAGCTGCAGGTGCTACGCTGAAACCCCCCAGATTTACCGGAGTTGAGAAGAGGTGCAGGATCAATCCCGTGAACGCCAAAGGATTTCTAAAGACAGCTTTGGCAGGGAGACCACCTCCATGCTACTACTGGCTCATTTTGTGCTCATGCAACTTTCTCCACTCCTGAGGTCAATAAAAGTTGCAGAAGGAGACATGTTGCTCATCTGATCGGCCTCAGCTCCCCTCTAGATATCTGCCTTCATTTGCAATGTCCTCACGCTCCCTTTCCCTCTGTCCCCACGGGCCGTCACTCCACTCCAGCGCAATGTCTGCCGGTCTGTAGCTCATTGTTCACAGGCTCCCATCCCAGGGGTGGCATTTTTCAGCCTCATGTTGTATTCTTCAGCCAATTTAGCCCGGGTTTGGGCTGACTTTTATATCCTCTGCTGTGAGGAATGCATGAGGCATAAGGTACCTTCGTAGCAGAGTGCTCTCACGTGTGTGGACATATCCAGCCACTACCTTAATCACTTGTCATTCTGGGTTTAGTGACAGCTTTATAGACACTCCTGAAGTTCACCTGCTGCTACATGCTGCCAGGTATTCGGACTGATTAGACACAGGCAAACCCTGTACAGCTGGTTTTTCCCCTTTAATTTGTATCTTGGCTCATTTTGCTCTCTGAAAACCAGATGTGACATAACATGATAACATGCCTGTAGTGGGTCATGCTGGAACATGACACAACATGATGTGTCAAGTTTCTTTTGAACTTCCCTCAGATCGGGTATCAGCCAAAAGGAGGTCATTTTAATTATCAGATGATTAATTAATTAGATAATTGTCAGACAGAGGAATCCAAAGATTATGTAGCACTCTTCAGGTATGTCTGCAATACAAAAGAAAAAAATTATGATTTTTTTTTTTTTTTAAAGCAGAATGAATTAAAAAGAAAAACTCAAAGTTTGGGAACATGCAGCTGGCTGGTTCAATTATTTGAATGAAAATCTTTTTATGCATGAGATTTGTGAAATCTTTCTGAGCTCTGCTTGCAAAAAGATGTGGTAGCATTTATCACTGCAGCAGGGTGAACAGTGGCAAAAAAAAGTTGGGATCCTTTTTTGCAAAGTGAAAATCACATCTCAATTCAGGTATGTTCACACCCCTTTTGCTGCTTCACCAAGCGAACAGTCACACTGTGTAGCTTCTGTTCATGTCACTGGTTTGGGAAGGGCATGTGTTTGCTCAGAGACATGCATTTGCATTGAGAACACCAGAGTTTGTGCCAGAAATACTTGCCTGGTTATCCCACAAAGATCTTCTTAGGAGACCTAGAGGCAGGTCATTCAGAAGCGTTTCAAAGCAGGATAGTTTCAATCAATCCAATGCAATGTGATCGAAAGAGGCAGAAGAGAGAGCTCAGAAAAAGGATGCTCCAGCAACAGAAAGCCCCTCTGAAATTAGACCTGTAGATAAAATGCTATCTGTATACTCCAACCCTAGAGGCTGTATTAAAGTAGCTGATGGGTCAACAAGGAGATCGGTGCTTTGGGTCAAATTACTTTTTTGGGGCCTCCCTCTGTATATGTCACAGGAACATATACATCCTGGCTGTCGTGTAGCTGCCACTGGGAAGAATATAAGGACAGCTCAGAATAAACAGCAGTAAGTGGGGCCTGGGCTTTGGAGAATTGGATAACCATATGCATCCGTGATCAGCTTAGAAAAAATGAGGCTGCACGTGTAATCGGTGTTTTGCTGTGGGTGGAGATGAGGACAGAGGAGAGAGCAGCATGTTCAATGTTTGACATCATTATGGATATCCGTATAGGCCAGTAATTAACTCAATGGTTCTCAACCATTTGAGACCCCCAGGCACCCTCCGTGACTTTCCTAAATTTAGCAGCACCCCAGTTCAGAAACTAATTTCACTTGTTCTGTGACTACAGAAAACTAAGTCTTTGAAAAAATTATCAAGGCTCACATTTGTGAGAGCCCGGCAGGACAAATTATGCTGAGGGGAAACCAGCACGGGTTCGTGGCAGGCAGATCGTGCCTGACCAATCTAGTTTCTTTTTATGACCAGGTTACGAAACGCCTGGACACAGGAGGAGGGGTGGATGTCGTATACTTAGACTTCAGGAAGGTCTTCGATACGGTATCCCACCCCATACTGGTGAACAAGTTAAGAGGCTGTGACTTGGATGACTACACAGTCCGGTGGGTGGCGAATTGGCTAGAGGGTCGCACCCAGAGAGTCGTGGTGGAGGGGTTCGTTTCGACCTGGAAGGGTGTGGGCAGTGGGGTCCCGCAGGGTTCGGTCCTTGGACCAATACTCTTTAATGTCTTCATCAGTGACTTGGACGAGGGAGTGAAGTGTACTCTGTCCAAGTTTGCGGATGACACAAAGCTATGGGGAGATGTGGACACGCCGGAGGGCAGGGAACAGCTGCAAGCACACCTGGACAGGTTGGACAAGTGGGCAGAAAACAACAGAATGCAGTTCAACAAGGAGAAATGCAAAGTGCTGCACCTAGGGAGGAAAAATGTTCAGCACACCTACAGCCTAGGGACTGACCTGCTGGGTGGCACGGAAGTGGAAAGGGATCTTGGAGTCCTAGCGGACTCCAAGATGAACATGAGTCGGCAGCGTGACGAAGCCATCAGAAAAGCCAATGGCACTTTATCGTGCATCAACAGATGCATGACAAATAGGTCCAAGGAGGTGATACTTCCCCTCTATCGGGCGCTGGTCAGACCGCAGTTGGAGTACTGCGTGCAATTCTCAGCACTGCACTTCAAGAGGGATGCGGATAACCTGGAGAGGGTCCAGAGAAGGGCCACTCATATGGTTAAAGGCCTACAGACCAAGCCTTACGAGGAGAGACTAGAGAAACTGGATCTATTCAGCCTCCGCAAGAGAAGGTTGAGAGGCGACCTTGTGGCTGCCAATAAGTTCATCACAGGGGCACAGAAGGGAATTGGTGAGTATTTATTCACCAAGGCGCCCCCGGGGGTTACAAGAAATAATGGCCACAAGCTAGCAGAGAGCAGATTTAGATTGGACATTAGGAAGAACTTCTTCACTCTTTCCTGCTTATGCAGGGGGTCGGACTCGATGATCTATAGAGGTCCCTTCCGACCCTAACATCTATGAATCTAATAAAGCAAATCCTGGGTTGCAAACAACTCAGACGACAGATCAGAGTGTTTCTGATGCTATGGATTCCTGTTTCAAATCTCTGGGTCTATCTTGTGAATCGTGTGTAGGTGTTTGCACACCTTACTATGCTAATATCCTGTGATACCCTATGGCACTCTGAAAAGGATCTCATGGCACCCAGGATGCCCTGCCTCCATGGCTGAGAATCACTGGCTTAACTCGGGAAGTAGGACTTCACTCTCCCTTTAATATCCATGTGAGCTACCTTCCTCTTACACAATCCTGTTACGCAATCACATCTCGATTCAGGCATGTTTGCACCTTGCTTCCTCACCAAGTGAACGGTCACACCGTACAACTTCACACGGATACCAGCCTACAAAGAGCCAGCCTCTTTGAGACATTTTAGATGCAATGCCATCTCGAACCTCTCTATTAAATAGCACCCAGGTGGATCATAACATGATGTAAATAGCCTTTAAGATGGAGCACAGGTCTGAGCTTTTAGACAACTAAATATGAATGGGGAGGGGGGGGGGGGGGGTGGCCCCCAAATAAAAGAGGGGGGGGGGGGGGGGGGGGGGGGGGGAGTTGCCCCACAATAATATGAATACTTAGAAGTGTGTTTTCCTGGGAGATGGAGAAAAATCCAGTAGATGGAGAACTGGCTACAAACAGTACAGGAAAATCTCCTTTGCCTTTTTCTCTTACTATTGCCTTTTCCAAGAATGTTCTTGAAGGAGACTTGAGCAGAATCGTGCAGCCTCACCAACAAGGCTGCAAGCTTCAGTATCAGGAAAGGAAGGCGACTATGTTTCAACAGGTGCCGGCACTCGCCGTTGGGAGACCCTGGCCACCAGGAACCTAGAACTGAACTCTGGTCTCCTGCAAAGGAGCTAGAGAAGTCTCTGAGTTGATTATAACATAAGCTGTTAATGATGTAATTTTTTTTTAAAGTG